TTACATTGAGTGTTTTAACTACTGTACCGATTATTTACCTGTCGTTACTATTTGTTTGATTTAGTCCAAACTAATAAAATAACCTTTATGTTAAAGTCTTTGCAAAACAAACGTTAAATTAAACAACGAGTCTATAAAAGCACCATTAGGAAAGGTATGTAACACAGTAAATGTAATCCAAGACACTTTTTTACACGTTCTTTAAAAAAAGTATAGTATCGAACCTAGGCAAAGGATTAAATTCAAACTTGTTAAAGATGGCAAAGAGATTAAAGTCGTAATTCAATCAACTCGTCTCGCCAAGAAAACCCAACAGAAACTTACCTTAAGCTGTTTAAACTGTGTGAAATGTTTTGTTACTTGATATACATAACTTAATAAAAGTACTAGCTTTAAAAAGGAAATTAAGAAACAAGGAAAGTAAGATTTAATTTTTTTAGCTTTATAAGAAAAAATACCAATTATAAAGTAACCATCATCGAAATCCGTTGATGGAATTTCTGTGACTTATTAATTTTTATATTTTTAGAGATCTCAAATTGTGATTTAAATGTAATACAAATATAAATTTGGCTGTTACTTTAGAAATAAAATTACATGCTCAAGAATTTGACGGGTTCACGTAGGTCAACTTTGGGAAATGAGCCGACTTAAAACATCCCCATTCCTCTTGGGAAATTTTCCGTCAACCAATTGATTTTATATGTTTAAAAAGGGGTTCCTAACGGATTTAAAACATTAAATAGATCTTGCACCACCACAAATAAATATAATGTAAACAAAGTTAATAATTATTGAGGTCTAAAATATATTTTGTGCCCTGCATTCAAGATTTTTATTTAATAATAAAACAAGCATTAAAAAAGGGTCATTTAATTTAGATTATAATTTCTTAATCAGTTACACACCATACATAAACATTATACATCTAATCCGAATAACATTTGAGCAATTTAAAAACTATAAATTAATATCTAATTATAAAATCCCAGTTTATGAAAGTTAATTTGATATCATTGTTATATGAAAAATGAACTAATAATGTAAGTCATCGTTTTAACACAGCTTTATAAATCACTCCATTCTTTGGACAACTTTACTTATGTCAGTGGTAAAACTATGAATGTGTCACTATCTCAATATTATTTTTGAGGTAGCAACAACTCATCCTCTATAGGTGTTTCAAGACAAAAATGAATGCAGGTAATTGTAAAATGAAGGTAGAATGGAGAAAGTCTATTTATCAGTAATATTTATAGTGACTAAAATAAGCTGCCGCTTTGGTAAGGATAACCTACTTTAAAAAGTGATCAAGGCGAGGTATACCTACTGTTAAACTATCCAAAAGCATAAATTAGATTTTTTGACACCGACAAATGAATGTATATATGTTTTCATGACAAAGGGACGATGTTGTGGTAACCATTGTTGATCCATGGTAAATAGACACTAAATGGCATCAAATAAACATTCATTTGTGGAAACGATGAACTGTCCAGCCGTTATAACAGCTGAGTAATAACATTTTAAAATTGTCCCTGTTTTTCTGAGTCGCTCCGTATATTATAGTGGTGAAGGCGAGTAAAGAATGAGGGTAGAATGAAATTATAGCTCAGTTTAACAAGCATTAGCTGGTTTTGTACCAGGACCATCTAGTCCAGTTTCGAGCCATCAAAAGTGAATGTCTTTGCTTACAGTTTAGCCGGTTTCTAACAATAATTACAGCCTCTCATATACCCGGTTCATTTGTGGTAATGGTAATTAGTTCTACTGTTAAGCTATCTGATGATTATCTTACATAGGTTTAAGTGTATAAAACATTTTTAAAACTTAAAGTAGTTGTTGTCCTTTAAGGTAATATTATTCCCAAACGTCTTTAAACGTTTTACCATTTTATTCCAACAGTGCTTGTCAAATAAATTGTGGATCCGTATAAACAATAACGTAACTTTTCGTTACAAGAGTCTATCTAACCACACAGCAGTCTGTCCACAACACTGTACATGTTGTTAATTGTTATGCGAACCCTTGGCTATTACAGTCCCTACGGACTGACCTTTGTTGTTCGCCCTGTGGAGGGTATATTTCACCAAGATAACTTCTGACTGGTCGACTACTGTTCAGCTTGTAGCAAGAACAGTTAATTAGATTACTATCACAAACTCATTGTTCTATTGTGGTTGTGGTTAATATAATTAGAAAAAGTTATTTTGCAACTAGTTTTACTGGTGAATTACATGAGGCAAATTTCATGCATTACTAGGATGAAAATATTTGTAGGAAGTAATCCAGGGTTAAGCGAAGTCATCCATAGCAAAATACTAGCTTTGAGTTCATAAAAAAATTACTAAAAGAAGATTTTTTAAAGTCTTTAATTTCACAAGATATTTTAAAATTAAAAACGTTATTTTGCTGATTTGTTTTAACTTACAAACATCATACAAGTTTATATGAACAGAATTAATAGTCTTTAAAGGAAAATATTGTACTAATCAAATTGCTTTTCGAAGACACAAGTAATGAAATATACGAGTGTTATTTAGTGTATTTCTTTTATTTATGTATCGAGTTCCTATTAAATTGGCTTAAGCACTTGCAGAAATATTTTTATACCTACATCATTGGAACTTATTAAAAGCGTCACCGATTTATTTTAATTTTAGTTCGGTACTTAAATCGAAATAACCCTTTTTGAATTACCACGTGTTGAAAACACAACACATTATTCGTACTTAACTACTAGCTGTCACTTTTATTTATATTTTTTACATATATTTATTGTAAGTGAGGTGGCCATGTTTGTTTTAAGTTGTAAAGGTAATTTTAAGTTGGGCTTTAAAACTATCCCCCAAATGAGTTGAAGACTAAGACTATGTAACACTAGATTGTAAAATGTCAAATCTGATCAGTTTAATTAATACTTTTTAATTACAGATCATTAAATCGTATTAATCTAACGTATCCATTTCGACATTTAACTATGTATAAATTGAAATACTACTTGAAAGTTGGCCGCTATCATGTCTTGCGGTTGAACGCTTACCCAACAAAGATGGCGAGTTGGACTTGAAACTTGGTCATTGTTCTGTTCCACTGTATCCAGCTGGTATTTACTGAAATTAATGTTGCCTATTTGATTTAACTCTTTGAAATAGTATTTAAGGGCAATCTTAATTTGATAACCTCTTAAACTAAGATAACCTCGACTAACCACACATAAAAATGTCCCTTAAAACACATAAAACGCTTCCGACGTAAAGAGTTCGTTTTTAGCCTCCTCGAGTTTAGAATAATTTTATACATATTAATAATACAATTTTCTAATAGTTTATAGTTAAACTAACGATCAATAAAATAGTACTTTGTGTCCAAGAGTAGTATTTTTCTCTAAATATCCAAAGGTTGTTGTGGTGAACTCCTTATTGCACTTTAAGTTGTCAATGTAAACAAAACACGATTTAATAATTCTTTGAGAGAAAACACTTGACAATTTCTAAATGTAGTAGACACTCATTACATTTAAACACCTCTTTTCATGTGTTATAACGACCCAATGTCTCTCTTGCAGTAAATCAAAGCACACTGCATATAGTTTACAACGTAAATTATACAGTACTGGCTTCTGTAGGTCTTACACTGTAATACATCAAGATACAGAGCAACATTAGTCATTGGCTGTACACGTTGTGTCCTGTGGGAGATGGTGTATCTCACGCACACGTGTTACCGGTATATACATTGATCTTAAGGGATTCATACTGTGTTCGATGTTAGCCTTTCAGCAGCCGTAGTCGATGTCTTACTCACCATTATGGGTACCACCTTAGAATGGGGCCAAGAAGTAGTTGGGTTCAGGCTAAACCGTCATGCATTATTCCTTATCAACGATAACTAATTGTTATCAATTAGTTATTAACAACTAAAAATTGTTATTATTAAAAATTTCCTACGGATAACGGTTGTGAACTGCTCATAGTGGTTATGAGGTTAACATTATAATGTTGTGTTTGTTTCGTATACTTTACACTATTTCACCCGCAAAAGATACTATTCATTTTTTTTGTTTCTAACTCTATCCATAGTAAATGGAGAAAATGTAGTTTTCGTAAAAAATTTGATTTTGATATTTTGGGTGAGTATAGGCTCTAAATTTTTATTCATTCCCCTGGGCAATAGTGGTTTGTGAAGTGATGTCTGTGGGTGTGTGTAAGTCTTGTGTGGGTGTGTGTGTGTGTGTGTATGTACGGTTGCCTGACTGTATGTGTGAATGTGTACAAAACTAAAAACCACCACACATGAGGTCCGATTTTGATCAAATATCGTAGGTGGGTACTAACCCAAGGTATTTCCTGGCGTTTTTAATTTTATGGAAATTTTCCCGTTTTGATGGTAATTTTTCCATAAAATAACGGATAGAATTTGTTTAAAAAACGGCCTGTACGATTTTCATTAAAATTTAGTATGGTATAGCCCTTTCAAGAACCTCTAATGTTGTAAAAATTACAGTTATTGCAACTTCCCCATAAAATTTCCCATAAAAACCCATGATATAACGAAAAATCCGTTTTTTTATACGGCTTGACCAGTTTTGATTCAAATTCAGTATGGAATTTCTTTTCACTTAAAAAAGGTATGACCTCCATTGCTGTACAAATTGAAAACTTTCCATATTATATGGTATTCAAACTTTTGTAATTTTTTCCCATATAAAACCTTAGTTACTCTAACCGCTTACCAAACTGCATGATAAGTGTTGTTGACAAGCTATTGTAAGTTTTGTATGGGTCATATTGCTGATACAGTTTATTTCATATTTTACTTACGTTATCGTATTAAAAATTATGTTTTGCTAAAACGTGAAACCAGGTTATCAGGCTAGCAGTTGACATCCAGTGCATGAGCATCATAACTCATTCCACTTAACGTGTCAAAAACACCTGTAAACGTTTAAGGTTATGACGGCTTAACACTAAGTGAGAAGCTAGGGTTCACGCAGTCAGTTCAACATGAGACATTGTGTAGCGTTTCTAGTGTTACTGAGTAAGTAGTCTGATTGATCTTACGTTTCGGGTAAATGGAGGTATCTTGGATAAAAGCATATATTTTACTAGGTGTTGTTAAACAATATATATTAATGTGTTTAATGTACATAATGTATTACATAGCATAACAAACAAAGCTAAATATCACTTAAACCTAACAACAAAAAAGAATATTTGATTCACGTTAATACTTATACATTTTTAGTAAAACTAAAAGGGTGCTTGATTTTGCCCTGGTGCATATTGGTAAATTTCCGGGGGTAGAATTCCGCTATCCCGTAATTTACTAGGTGTTGTTAAACAATATATATTAATGTATATAATGTACATAATGTATTACATAGCATAACGAACATAGCTAAATATCACGTAAACCTATCAACAAAACAGAATATTTAATTTACGTTCATACTAATACATTTTTAGTAAAACTAAAAGGGTGCTTGATTTTGCCCTGGTGCATGATATTGGTAAATTTCCTGGAGTAGAATTCCGCGATCCCGTAATTTACTAGGTGTTGTTAAACAATATATATTAATGTATTTAATGTACATAATGTTACATAGCATAACACACATAGCTAAATATCACTTAAACCTATCAACAAAACAGAATATTTAATTCAAGTTTATACTTATACATTTTTAGTAAAACTAAAAGGGTGCTTGATTTTTTCCTGGTGCATGATATTGGTAAATTTCCGGGGGCAGAATTCCGCTATCCCGTAAGTTTAGTAATAAATTGTTTGCTGTCTTTCATCAACTCTCCTGTCACTTTGGTCAATTTCCTCACCAATTAAAAGCTATTTGCACAAAATCTAAACAGCCTCCGAATTTATAGTTGTGAGGAAATAAAATATTGAGTAATAGATATATTATTAGAAGGCAGATAATCATCCCTGAAAAGTTTTTCGAAATATATATAACATATTTTAGGTTTTAGAGTGTTCATCAGTATAACAGTTTAACATAACTTAATATTCCTTTGTATAATATGGAGAGCTATCCGTTAAAACAGACATGTCGGAAATGAATAAATATGGCTTGCATGTGGTTTTCCTAACTGTACGGCTCAAAAAAGATCTGCGAAAACCCCATCAATTGCGATTTAAGTTACGTCAATAAATATTTCACAACAGAAAATTTCCTAAATATCTAATGGATTTATCGGTTTTCAGTTTTCATCGATGTTTCCTCCAGTGATCCACCCACCGTAGAGTGTCCTGTTCTCACTACGATGGTCAATCCGCATAATCATAAGTATCGCGGATATCCACCTTACCCGTGCGTGAAATGTTCCTATGGTTTTAGCTCAGTGAGGCTCTGCGAACAAGGCTCTAAGTGCGAGAAGTTCAAGGATTTTTATGCTGAAGAAGAGTACTTCTGCGTCCAAGTTGATCAAGAGAAACACACATGGACTGACATGGGTTATTAGAAACTGGTGATGTGAGGCCAATTGATCATTTACGGAACATGATTATTGAAATACTGAACTAATAAAGATGGGGTCATTGATGTGCTCAAGCATATAGTTTTACACCTTCTTTCCGTTATTAGAAACTTAAGGGTCTGTCACCATAAAATGCCTAACTGTGATGTGATTGAAAGACAGTAATTGTAAAAATTTTGCTTAAGTTTACGCAACGATCACATAAAGATAGTCCGTATAAGGCTAAATACACGAGTTGCGACAGTTCTTTAACTACTAAAAATCACTTTTAAGAGAGTTTATGTTGTCGTTTATAAACTCTCATTTCCAATACTTGTGATGCGACGAAACTGTACCAACCACTCGCCCATTGTTTAATCAATTAAATTGGTCTTAACAGCTGATTATTTGACGTTCGAAACATTACAATTTTGCTTCTTTTCTCTAAAGCCTTGAACCTCATTGGTCAGTTACTCGTGTTGTTAAAAAACAACAATGTTGTTAATTGAATATCTTCAATTCTAAGAACTGAACTGAAACGGCTAGTAAAAAAAAAAAAGGTACTTCAGTATTAAACGGAGGCCACATTTTGTCAGCGCGCTGCGGCGGTTATGTTAGGTTGGGTTATCATAATAGAAAGTATCGTTCGATTCATAACGAAGCGAGGAAAGTCCTACACACATAATATTTACGATAACCCAACCTAACATAACCGCCGCAGCGCGCTGACAAAATGTGGCCTCCGTTTAATACTGAAGTACCAAAAAAAAACTGTCTTAGGTAAAGAAACTCAACAGTAGGCCTATAGTAGTCACATGGGCAAAATATTTGTACTGAAAAAATATAACATGTAGTAGGTCTCAAACCGATATCTGACATATTGTATACATTATTTCAACAATGGAATAGATTTTTTTATCACCGGATAAAAATAAGTTATTTTGAGTACTGCAGGTGTAGCGATATGCTCATTTCCATGCAGTGGTAGCAAGCTTTCAGTAAATTCAATAATAAAATTGATAAAATGTAGATGTTGTAATATTGAATAAGTTTTATTCAAGGTCATATTCTAGATGAGTACCCTTGCCTCTCGTAAACCTCGTCCAGTTCTTTTATGGGTTCATTTAACTTGGTCTAACGGACTTGGGTGAATTTTAAATGAGTCCCCCCCCCTACTTTTTCTGCATTTCTTAAGATATCATCTCCGGACCACGTCAGATCATTGTTGAGTAGTAAGTACTTCATTTTGACTGGTTATACATTTTTGGCCGCCATCTTGGATCCGCCATATTGGATACAACGTTTTTTTTTCAAATGTAAAGGTAGAGTTGTGACCCATTATTTCAAACCAGAATTTTACGCTGATTACAATGCCGCAATTATTTTTTTTTAATCTTGATCCGTTCTAAAGTTATGAGGACTTTTTATAACTTTATTTTTAGCGCATTTTAACATTGTGCATTTACAAACTAAGACCATAATCTCAAAATAGTACTAGATAAAGATAAGTATACACCACCATTCATTGCCGACATATTTTCACTTGGTTATGACGGATGTAGTTTTTTCAGCCGCCATCTTGGATCCGCCATTTTGAAATGTGATCAATTAATTTAAATATGAAGGTGGTGTTGTGACCCATCATTTTGAACTACTTTTTTATACTGGACTCAATGCTGCAATCCGTTTTTGGTTATCAAGCTATCTTGATGAAATATTAAAATAGTCTTATTTAAAATTTCAATATTTCAAAAACCAAAGATGCAAATGAAAAACGGATTGCGGCATTGAGTTCAGCACAAAAAGGTAGCTCAAAATGATGGGTCACAACACCACCTTCATATTTAAATTAATTTATCACATTTCAAAATGGCGGATCCAAGATGGCGGCTGAAAAAACTACATCCGTCATAACCAAGTGAAAATATGTCGGCAATGAATGACGGTGTATACTTATCTTTATCTAGCACTATTTTGAGATTATGGTCTTAGTTTGTAAATGCACAATGTTAAAATGCGCTAAAAATAAAGTTATAAAAAGTCCTCATAACTTTAGAACGGATCAAGATTTTTAAAAACTAATTGCGGCATTGTAATCAGCGTAAAATTCTAGTTTGAAATAATGGGTCACAACCCTACCTTTACATTTGAAAAAAAAACTTTGTATCTAATATGGCGGATCCAAGATGGCGGCCAAAAATGTATACCCAGTCAAAATGAAGTACCTACTACTCAACAATGATCTGACGTGGTCCGGAGATGATATCTTAAGAAATGTAGAAAAAAGTAGGGGGGGGAACTCATTTAAAATTCACCCTGTATAATAGGCCACCAACACGCTACTAACAAGAAAGCTACTGTTTCCAGTAATTGAAATTGGTAATTACTTTAGACCATCATTGTATGTCCAAAAAAAGACAGTTTTTGATGCAGTAAGATGAAAAATCATTGGTTAAATGCTAAGAAATGTTTCAAATTTAGTCGAATTACCAGAAATTAAACAATATCTTTAGCAAACAAAAAACCCTAGACCTTAGGAAGCGAAAAACCACGTGAAGTCTTTTTTACTTAACCCCATAGGGTTTATGCGACAGTGCATATTAGCACGGATAAAACTATACGTGTTGGTTAGTCTATGATATTAGCTGATCAGCAACGAATTAAATAAAACACGGATATCAACTTATGACTTAATTTAATGTGTCTTGCTGTAGTTTTAATTTTTAGTTGCATTTCTGTAGAACCCTGTGACTCTAGAACACTGTAGATGTGCTGACTACTGAGTAACTATTTTACTTTACATTACCATTAGTTACTATTTATCTGGAATTGGCTACATAATAAGACTTCAATTTTATGTAGAAATATTTATTGGGTTTTTAAATACATCAAAATTGTTAAAATAGTTTTTAAGTAAAGGAATAATTTTAACAGTCAATTTTTTTGAATACTGTAAATTTTTATATAAAACCGCTAAGCATGATCGTAATTCAATAGGTTCGTTCCCACGCTAGAAACCAGTTTCATGTTACTCCAAAGCTGCTTTAAACGCTGTTATTTAAGTTATGTCAAGATAATGCATGCTATGTTAAAGTTGAACATAATTACTTAACTACGAAGATTTTGAAAATAATACCTATTGCTGCTTTTACTTCAGTAATAAGTTATTATTACGTTTGTTTTGAGTGAAACTAGTTTAAAATTATTTAGATAAACATTTTTACGAATCCTACACTATTAGCATTTTATATACGTATAGCATTTTCTATACAGATTTCGTCTCAACCTTGTGTCATTGAAGTACACGATGGGTGGTAGAATGCAATGGTAAATGTGTTTTTATCATTGGATAAATAATATAAAATAATTATAAAATAAAAAAAAATATATCGCAAATCAATTAATTAAGAAAACATAGGACAGTTTAACATACTTCAGGTCTAGGTTAGTTTGCTAAAAATTTATGATCCTTTACTATGACGTTTTTTGTTGATCCCAAGGGATGAATTGAATGAAACTAATGATGCGTAAGGAATATGTACTAGAGTTAGTATTGTTGTTAAATACTGACTGATGTTTTACAAATGAAAGGGTCTCTAGGATGTATAGTGAGGGAAGAGTCAAAATTGCAGCTGACCTGAATGATTCCTTACAAGATCGTCTTCTGAAAAGTGAAAATATAACACGAATAGCCTTTTTTGCATTTTAAAAAGAAAGGAGGTACACTTGTTTTCATAACCCCAAACAGGCAGAGCATAAACTAGATATGGAAATATTAAGCCGTAGTTAACAGAAAGAAGAACTTCCAACGAGACTGTTGTAGCCAATGTTCGTAGCACCAAAATGCCTGTGCTTATATACATGTTTGATCACGTAAGCAACATGAGATTGGAAATCTAAAAATTCGTCTAAGTGAATGCCTAAGATTTTAACAAACTGAACAGTGTGAATAAAGGTTTGATCAAGAAGAATGAAAAAGCCTTTCAAAATTCATTGAAATATATAGGTTGTTTACGTTAAAAGCGTTTTTCGTAGTTTATGTATGCTTAAATAGTTAAATGGTATAAAATAACAGTGACAAAACCAATACAAATAATAATAGTATATTTAGTATTATTGTGTGAATAAATACCACACACTAATTCAAGATTAATCTCTTTCAATAAATCATCTGAAATTCCCATAAAACCACAGTATTTAATTAGTTTAAAAGCCCCAGTTTTTGGCAAACACTATGTTTATTTGGCTACCTGACAAAACCTAAGCTGTATTCGTGTTGGCTTTGGTGCAACTACTTTACATATGCTATATTTTATTCTGGTCTTAGTGGAACGTTTGTGGATTAAACACTAAACTACGTATGGCATATATTTGCTAAGTCAGTATTGTCTGTTTATTTCTATGTACAGTATAATATTTTGCAGTAGTTTCCAAATTCTGTTCACAATAGTAATCAGGCCGTACTCAAGTAAAATGTGACCCAAATACAATAGAGATATTTGTTAGAAATCTCTGGTAATTGTTACTAAGCAATTGATAAAAAATACTTAGCCAAACCCTTTTACACAGTTTTGTCCCCGATTCATTTCACAATAAGTGAAATATTAATCGGTCTTCTCCCAATAGATATAAATTTAATAAATTTGCTTTTAGATTGTTTACTTCAAGTTTAACAATGTTTAATGTTTTTATACGTACCGAATGCCCAAATGGTTTAAATAAAAATACCCCCCGCTGCAGCAAACCTGCAGACTAAGCGAATTTCTATTAGCCTGATAGGATTTACACTAAAATGCCCCCTTAAAAATATCATATTTATTCCCTATTTAAATAGAATTAGTTTAACGAGTATATAGGTTTGCTGCAACAGGGAGGGTAAAAAGGTGTTTTTTTTAATATTAATAGTTTAGTAAGAAATGAATGTATTTTCCAAATTCGATCAAAATATGTTCATAAACAAGCAAACTACAACAGTTTACTTATTCTCCATATGAATAA